ATTTCCAGCCCTTCTGAATAGCCATCTTGAAAGATGTCAAAGAAGTATATTTTGGGGTGAAATATTTTAGTTTCCTTCAGTTTCAAATCCAGCTTTCAGGCATAAGCACTTACTCTGTGACTCTTAACTCTAGTCTGGGCCATTGTCCATCCCCAGTCCAATCAGTTGAGGGTAGGGCCGGGCAGAATCACACCTGCTACAGATCGGGCACAGGGGTGAGTCCCTTTCACTCACACAGGGCATCTGAGTGAGGAGAGCAGGTCCACAGGCCCTGGTCAACTGGAAGGACCTGCATTCTGCCTAACAGAATCCTCAGAGTGAGCCATCTGGGGCCATGCTGGAAGGATAACTCAGGGTGGCCAGAGAAGCCTGACATCTACATTTGATGTGCAGTGTTCTGATTTTGTAAAGTGGCCAACTGCACCCAGTCCTTCGCATATTCCTGGATATAGCATCCCCATGCACGCTGCCCTGATTGCCAGCTGCCACCTTTATATGAGGGCTCTCTTTGGCTGCTAGAGCCCATTCTACCCATGCAGGGACTTGCTGGAAGTTCTGGTGAACTAAGACCCTCTGGAAGCAGCTCTCAGTCAATGACTCAGGAGAGTTGGTGGACAAATACCCCAGCTCTCCACTTGCCTCACTTGAGACAGTTCGGATGCATGGCTGTCACTGACTCCCAGGGCTCCCCTGAGGGACTAGAGTCCACTGCTCACAGTGGTTCCTTGCTTGGTTATGCACCTTGTATTGGTTGCCCTCCCTTCCCTTTGTCACAATCCCATACCCTACAAGTGTTACCTGAAGTCACCACTGAGAAACTACCTGGGCATGAATCTCTGTCTTGGGATCTGGAGACAGTTAATTCAGAAACATTTTAAATGCAGGCAGGGCACAACGGTTCACACCCGTTATCCCAGCACTGGGAGGCCAAGGCTGGCAGATCACTTGAGGCCAGGAGTTCAAGAGCAGTCCAGCCAACACGGTGAAACCCTGTCTCTTCTATAAATACAAAAATTAGCTGGGCATGGTGGTGCACACCTGTAGTCCCAGCTACCTGGGAGGCTGAGGCACAAGAATCACTTGAACCCCGGAGGTAGAAGTTGCAGTGAGCCAAGATGGCGCCACTGCACTCCAGTCTGGGCAACAGAGCAAGACTCTGTCTCAAAATAAATAAATAAATAAATAAATAAATAAATAAATAAATAAATGCATTACTTAATATATTGTGCCTGCAGTGTGGACTCAATCCAAAAGCTGCCAGATTACAACCTCTAATGAAAAATAATCACCTACATAGACTCTTTTACCATCATAGACAGAGAACCTTGGAAAAGAAAGCTCTAAACTCAAGTGCTAACAGGTTGATGAGTAGACCCTGAGGAAGTCCCAGAGTGTGTGGCTTCTTTGTCCATGGGATTCTGTGGATTAAGAGCTGAGTTGGCTTATGACACTTCTGCATTGTATCGTATGAAGTTACTGCACGCGTTTGTTGTGTGACCACTGATCACGTGGAGCTTTTCGAGTGAGGAGGTTTGGAAATATTGTTGACCCTTGAACAACATAGGTTTTCAAACTGCACTAGTCCATGTATACACAAATTTTTTCAATAAACACTTCTGGGGGAGATTTGCACCAATCTGAAAAAAACACACAAGTTGTGTAGCCTAGAAATACTGAACAAATTAAGAAAATGCTAAATATCTTATGAATGCATAACATATGTGTTAATTGGCTGTTTGTGTTATCAGCAAGGCTTCTCTGATCAATCGTAGGCTCTTTGTAGTTAAGTTTTGGGGAGTTAAAAGTTGTACTCAGATTTTTGACAGCTCGGGGGCTCAGAACCCTTACCCCATCCATTGTTCAAGGGTCAACTGTATATAGACTTTTCAATGACCTTGTGGGAGCCAAGGGATAGCTACCCCTCTTTCCATGCTCAGTCATATTCCAAGTGAGTAGAGTCCATCAGCCCTGAGGCCTGGGCCACGGGTGCAGGAGAAGTCATCAGTCAAGAGAGGAATAAGGGATGCCTGCAGGGGTGGGGAAGAAGGATGCCGCAGGAGGCTAATTCTTAAATGGCCCAAGGGGAAAAACGAGGGCATTGGCTAGGAGATGAGAGAAGTTTCCTACTCTATAAAGGGAGGACTTTTTTTTTCCCCTGGTCTCACTCTGTTACCCAGGCTGGAGTGCAGTGGAGCGATAATGGCTCCAGCACCTTTGACTTCCTGGGCTCAGGCAGTCCTCCTGCTTCAGCTTCCCAAGTAGCTGGGACCCTAGGCACACACCACCATGCCTGGCTCATGCTTTTATTATTATTTGTAGAGACAGGGTCTCCCTATGTTGCCTGGGCTGATCTTGAACTCCTGACCTCAAGTGATCCTCCCATCTCAGCCTCCCAAAGTGCTGGGATTACAGGCATGAGCCACCATGTCCAGCCAGAAAAGGAGGACTTTCTAACCAGCAGAGGAGCTGCCTGTTGCCCTCGGGTGGCCACATGGCCAGTAGCTACATGGGCACCAGCAGGGCTTCTGTGGTGTGGACGTGGTGAGAGTTTCTATGAGTTTGTGAACCAGTTTTCCAAGGAAAGAAGGGATGGACTTCCAATGGAATTAGCCCCATTTACAGGCCAGTCCTGTAAGTGGCAGAAATCAGTTTTACCCACCCCACTCCACAGCACCTTGTTAAAAAAAAAAAAAAAAAAAAAAAAAGGTTACTCTCGGCAAAATTGAGGCACTGGATATTGTTCCTAATTCCATTTTTTAAATACTTTTTAATTTTTTTATGTTAAAGATAGGGTCTCACTATATTGTCCAGGCTGGTCTCAAACTCCTGGCCTCAAGCAATCCTTCTGCCTTGGCCTCCTAAAGTGCTTAGGATTATCGGGATATAGGCATGAGCCACAGCACTCGGCCAACAATAGTTTTTAAATAGGATTAGAACCAGGCGTAGTGGTTTACTCCTGTAATCCCAGCACTTTGGGAAGCCAAGGTGGAAGGATTGCTTGAGGCCAGGAGTTTGAGACCAGCCTGGGCAACATAGGGAGGGAGACCTGGTCTCTACAGAATAAAAATAAAAAGATGAGTTGAATGTGGTGGCACACACTGGTAGTCTCAGCTTTTGGGAGACTGAGGCGGGAGAATCACTTTAGCCCAGGAGGTCGAGGTGCAGTGACCGTGACTGCAGCAATGCACTCCAGCCTGGGCAACAGAGTGAGACCCTGTCTCAAAAACAATAATTAAAATTAAAATTAAAACACTGTTGCTGAGTAAGGGGGCTGGGAATACAGTTCTTTGCATATGACTTCTTTCTTTCTCATAAATTAGCTTCTCTTTTCAATGAAAAGTTTTCGTGACCTTCAAACTTAACATTTTTTTAAAAAATGACTGTTGGGCAAGGGAAAACCTGTCTCAAGCAGTGATCCAAGACACTTGAAAAATTTCTTTTAATTCACATAGTTCAAATTGTCAAGTCCGATCCTGGAATAACATTTTTCTGTCCAACGTGTAAAATATTGGGTAATACAAAGATAATTATGGAAATATTCAGAGAACTTCCCTGGACCCAGACACACAGCCACCTCCACTTCCTCCTACCTCTCTTAGAAAAAAACAAAAAGCATTAAAAGGAGAGATGACCTGTCTCCCTGGGAGCTCATTAAGGGGCCAGGCAAAAAAGTGAGATACATTACTTAGATTCGGACTTGACCTGACAGGTCCCCTAGGGTGAGTCACTTTTTCCTATTTTGGTCAATTTGACTGTAAAATAATTACAGTAACGAGGTCTTGTTCACTGAGACTGAAGTCAGTGCTGCCTCGCCTCATTCAACAGCTAGAAAGAGAAACTGGAGGCTGTGATTAGAAAGCTTCTATAGCCAACCTCAGGCAGTGCGGATTCGAGAATCCAGGACTTGAGTACCCTAAGTGTCTTTTAAGTCAGACCTGTGAGTAGTGGAATACAATATAATTGCTTTTGCTGCTTCTCTTGTGGGTTTGCACTTGTAACCTAAAGTAAATAAAATAGGATAAAATAGAAAGCTGGGGTGGGGGCAAGGGGAGAAGAGATTGGGCTGATGTTGGTCAAAGGATACAAACTTTCAGTTCAGAAGGAGGAATAAGTCCAAGAGCTGTATTGTGCAACACAGTGACTGTAGTCAAAACCAATGTATTGCATATTTGAAAATTGCGGCCGGGCGCAGTGGCTCATGCCTATAATCCCAACACTTTGGGAGGCCGAGGCAGGCAGATCACTTGAGGTCAGGAGTTCAAGACCAGCCTGGCCAACGTGGTAAAACCCCATATCTACCAAAAAATACAAAAATTAGCCAGGCATGATGGTGCACGCCTGTAATCCTGGCTACTTGGGAGGCTGAGGCAGGAGAATCCCTTGAACCCTGGAGGTGGAAGCTGCAGTGAGCTGAGATCATGCCACTGCACTGCAGCCTGGGCAACAAAGTAAGACCCTGTCCCCCACCCCTCCCAAAAAAAAAGTAAAAAGAAAAGAAAAGAAAATTTTCAAAGAGAGGAGATTTTAAGTGCGCAAGTGCACTCAGGACAAGTAAAAAGCATATGAGGTAATACATATGTTAATTAGCTTCACTTAGCCATTCTGCAATATGTATACCTATGTATTTCAAGATGTCATGTTGTATACCATAAATATATACAATTTTTACTGGTCAATTAATAAAATAAAATCCTTGACTCAAAATAGGAACGTTACTTTGGACTAAAGAAATTAAGAGAAGAAAAGAGGAGCAGAGGAGATGGGATGGGAAGGGTGGAGAAGGGAGAGTAGAGGTGGGCGGGGAAGGGGCGAGCGGGGAGGGAAGAGGAGGGAACAGTCCTGTCCTTAATGCTTCTCGAGCTCTCTATCTTGCCAAGATCTGGCCTGTGGCCCAGCACAGCAAAAACTGGAAAAGTGCCCGTGACTCAACCCAGTTCCATTGATCAGTGAACTGGAAATCGGGGACTCTGTGTTTCAACCCCAGTCGGCCAGCCCACAGCCAGGGTCCAGGTGGCGGCCTCAGCTCCTGGCCTCAGTGGCTGTCGGTAGAATGGGTTGGAGAACCAGCCTCCAGCGGTCTCACATAGCAAGCAGGCAGCGCAGCCTGGAACCCAGCCAAGGGACGCAGGAATCCTTTCTGTTTTTTAAGGACAGACTTTGCTTTACCACAGCGGTCGCTCTTGGGGCCACACGGAAAGCCACCACTAAGTTTACTATAAAGTGACAGAGGCTGGTGTCTCTGGGAGAATGAGGAATAGTCACTTCCTGCCTTTGTCCATTAGTGCCGACCAAAGCGACCAGCTCCGTTTACATTCTTTCAGTGGTGTTGTTGAAAAGGCTTGGCAGCTCCCAAATGTTTGCAGTGTCCTGAGTCCTATGAGGGCTGCCTCCTTCTTCTTTTTTTTTTTTTTTTTTTTTTTTTTTTTTTTTGCTAGCTTTTAGCTAGTATCTGGAAAGATCTACCAGACGTGTCGGACTCATTTTCTCAAGAATCCACTTTACCCTTCAGGGAAGCCAGGAAAAGAACACGCTTCCAACCGGTACAAGTCTGGAGGAATTTCACAGCCTTTCAAACTACGGTACCCTTTTTGTTTCTTAGTCCAGCCTGTTACTGGGGTGGTTTTAGGAAGAAGCTGCTGGGGTGACATCTGTGGGGAGGCATGGGGAACCGCAGGTGAAAAGAAGTTATTGTTTTAAATTGTATTAGATTGCTGGCAATATTGAGTCAAGGTGTCTAAGGTTATGGTTTGGGGAAGAAAACTATAGCTAACTATAGCTACTACGGAAAGATTTTAAACCAGAACTTCTTTGGGGCCCTTAAGAACTTTTCTTTTCTTTTCTTTTTTTTTTTTTTTTTTTGAGACAGAGTGTTACTCTGTCGCCTAGGCTGAAGTGCAGTGGTGTGATCATGGCTCACTGTAGCCTCAACCTCCTGGGCTCAAGTGATCCTCCCTCCTGAGTAGCTGGGGCTACAGGAGCATGCCACCACGCCCATCTAATTTTTTTTTTTTTTTAATTTTTTGTAGAGACAAGGTCTCGCTATGTTGCCCAGACTAGTCTCAAACTCCTGGGTTCAAGTGATTCTCCCACCTTGGCTTCCCAAAATGCTGGTCATGAGCCACTGCACAGACCAAGAACTTTATTTTTCTGATCAAGAACTTTATTTTTAAAAATAATATGAGCTATGTACTGTCTGCTTGAACTATTGGATGGCCCCCAGCATTTAATCCTGTGGGAGGTACGTGCTGCTGCACCTGGTGGTGTGTTCCTGTCACCTGCTCTCATTTCCCTCTTGGAGCAGCTTATGAAGGAGAGATGCCACCTGCATCTTTTGAAATGTGATGGATCTGCCTGCCCTGAGCAGAATCCAAACTGGATGGTGAACTGAGGACTGCTGGAGGTGAAAGTGTGCACATGCAGGTTTCAGGCAGCTAATTAAAATAAACTAGTACACTTCTGGAACCTAAACTGCTCCAATGCTATAGGCAAAATTCCCTGCCTGCCGTGGCTCATCAGAAAGAGTTTGTATATGGAAAACTTCAGAACAGAACAAAGAAACTTAAGTCTGGATGAGGAATGAAGTCTTGGCTGTCTTTTCGCAATTCCTGAACTGCCAGGTGACATCAAATCCCCTGCCGAAAAAAAGTCTGACATAAAAAGAATTCCAGACATTAGGCCTGGCTTAAAGCAGGGTATGCTTTTTTATGTGTGTGCTTCTGGGTCTAAACAGGTCATGGTTTGCTCCCCAAGGTGACAGGGTGGCTCCATTCCGCCCCTAGTTCTGAGCACGGCACTGTGATTTCTTTCTGGAGTCGCTCCAACCTGTGGCCTTTGCTAATGAGTGATGAACCCCGAACCTGAACTTCTAGAGTCAGCAAATCACACACTGCCTTCTCAGGAGGTTTCTGGAACGTTGGCCTTCATCCCAGCAGGATCACAAGTGGAAAGAAACACAGGGAAGACACCGTCGAATCTTTAAAGTGGCCACAGCACGGAGCAATGACACAAAGAGACGATGGTTCTGGAAGGAGGGGTGGGATGCTCTGTGTCATTCTTGTTTTCTAGATGGGATTCCGTGCAGAGTTCATCACCACTCACTGTGAGTGCAAGCAGGGGGCAAATCATGGGGCCGAAAAAAAACCTCCCTGCAAAGATCCTTGCTCACTCACTCATATGCACTTCTCAGCTATAAATTCATGCTTTTCCACTTGTTGAAACATCCCTAACCGTCGCCCTCAATGTCCTGTTTGTGTCGCTGGCTCTCTGCCACTCAGCTAATAATGAAACAGCCTCAGTGAACCTGCAGCAGCAGCTGCCTTAGCTTCGGTGCCTACCCAGCCCTGCAGCTGAACCACTTTGAATATTCCTTGATGGTGCAAGAGACAGTCTCACTATTTCCTTCACTGGCCCTCCTCTGTGTCCGTCACGGTTGGCATGAGCTACATCCTGTGCATGTCATGGCGAGAAGGGATGAATGAGGAAGGACAGGGTGGTTTTATACTAGATCCTGGGACAGTCACTGGATAAGGAAGGGTCTGGGGGTGCTCCCTTTAATGCACAAAGGCCTGAGCCAGGTCAGCTGGCAGAGGTGCATATATGTTTAACTTAGAACTGAATGTTGAAGGCTTTGTGGCCCAAAGGGGAGAATTATTGGGATCTGATGCCCTAGCAGGGGAAATTCCAAGCCCCAAAAGCCGCAGTTGGAATTCAGAACTGTGTTGTTACCCTGCCTCTAAGTTTTCCTCTACGTTCAACTCCCCTTTTTTGGATGATTGTGAAGCTGTTTTCATGTTGTCCTCTTCCGTGAACTGATCCCTGTAAACAGTGACAGGATTTTATCCAAATATTTCTGATTTCTAAGGGAAAACTAGAGCGATTACTTCCCAGTGCCCTTCTGTTGACCTTGCCTGGGGGAGAGGCCTGCAGAACTAAGGATGACCTCACCCCCTTCCAGCAGGATTTCCTGGGATGTACAGAACCTCCTTCTTCAGCTGTCCCTCTGTGATCAGCCACAGTCAATCTATAAGCTTTCAGAGCAGATGATGGGCACATCTAATATTGGTTCCATTCACATTTCAGCGCGAGGTCAAACACAAAGTAATCATTATGCTTCCTGGAGTCCCAAGGACCTTCTACGTCAGCGGCAGCGGTGGGAGGTGGGCTGGCGAGGTGGGGCCGTCTAGGAACTGTGCTGGTGGGGACAGGAAATTGGGCTGAAGGGAGATGTAAGGGCTTGGTGAGAAATAAATGGCACTGTGTTGTTGACGGAAAAAGATCTTGGCAGGACTGTTGTTGTGAGTGTTCTGTGGCTTAGAAAGGAATTTCCTACAGGCTGGACTAACCATTAAAAATGTCTCTACCTTCAGGAGTCCCCGGCGTGCAGTGGAGCCCCGCTGGGGGAAATGTCAGCTTGGACCATGGGCGCCCGCGGTCTGGACAAGCGAGGAAGTTTCTTTAAGGTAAAAGAAGCCTTGATTGGGATCTCAAATCGTCGGCTTGCTGCCTTAGCCTGGGAGCTGCGGTGCTCCGTGGAGCTGCTGAGGGAAGTCTGCTCTCTCAGCCAGCGCCGGCTAAGGGAGCTTGCCTGAGCCTGGCCGCTGATTGTTACCAGGGCTTATAACAGGTTGCGGGGTCTGTGATTTAGTGCTTTCATACAGGCACGGGACTTGGGCACGGACAGGGGCCGCGCTGCGCAAGACGGATGAGGCTGTCTTTATCTGAGAGCTGCTCAGTTTGTCCTTTTCCAGCTGCAGGGTTTTATGGTGGACGCTGGACTTTGCTTTCCAGTGAATCAGTGCTGTCGTCCATGTGTTCTCTCCTTGGCTTGTTTGTATGAATCACTGAAGGGCTCCAAAACAAAAACAAAAACAAAAACAAAAACAGCTTCCTGGGCCTCACCTTAGAATGATGAAATATTATTTTCTGGAATATTTTATCAAGCATCCCCAAAGGCTTCTTATGATAACGAGAAAGCACGATTACAACTGTCTAACTCTTCTGTGTTCATATTGATGTTAATGGGACTAAATTACCTTGCGAGCTTAATGAGATAAGATTTTAAATGGGTGTTTTATGTACTCTGTGTGTGTGTATTTAATGAAGACTTGGTGGTCGCTTCTAATTTACACTTGGGAATCAATTCCCCTCTTGTGGCTTTTTGCTTTGTTTCCTTTCATTCGCCCTCGAATTAAGGCATCCTCAGTATAGAAAATTTTGAAAATACAGAATTATGTTTAAAAAGGTAGAAAAATGGAAGTAAAATATGCACTTGAAATCTGTCATAGGCAGGTGTTCCAACACCAGGTCTTGTCCCCAGAGGAGGAAGATGGAGGAGATTTTATTACTGAGGACAAGTGACTATGTTTAACAATTAACCAACCTTTATGGGATGGAAGTATCTATTAACATTTATTTGTATGTTTCCTGTTTCCAAGAGACCAAAACTGATATATGGTGTCAACTGTTGACTCTACAAAAAAAGTCCATCAGAAGAACCTACTGATAAAGCAAAGTTCATGAGATTTACTGAAATAAGGAAGAACATCACCAGGACACAGTCTTATTCATGCCTAAGCCAGGGGAGATTAAGAGGCAGATTTATAGGATTCCGGGATCTAGGTCCAAGTCCTTCAAGCTGCATTTTTCAAGGTGGAGAACTAATTTGATTTCGGTGACGTCTATGCCACAATAGCTTGGGATTGGTGGATACAGCAAGACTAGGATATTGAAGTGGCTCTTGACAAGTAAACCCTTGTTTGATAAGTGAGCTGTTTTCCCAGGTGAACAAAATTGTTTGCCAGGACAAATTATTGTGTAGACATTTCCTGCAGCAAACAGTGAAGTTATTTATTGGTTTACAGCCTTAATTTTCTGGGCAAGAAGATCCTGGAAGAAAGAGTTAAGCTATGTTGACACAGATGGTCTCAATTATCAATCCTAATCGTTAAGCTTTGCAGACAATCTCAATTCTCAAATGATTTACTCAGTTTTGATCAAACCTGTATAACCTCCACCCACAGGAGGCAGATGAGAGCAAGGAGCTCCTCAAGTCCCCTGTAGATCAAGAGTTAAGCCCACCAGATTGCCCGATTGTCATCCTCCAGGTTGCATCTGATGCTGAGATATTTATTTTCCCCTGTTAAGAGGGATGATCCAAAACCTCTCCTTAACCCAAAGCACTGTCTAGATCAGCCTAAATATTGACTAGTCCATAATTACCACCTTATGATGGTCAGGAAGCACAGTGGAGCTGTATCTTACATAGCAGTTAAATTTTAAAGTCAAGGCAAAAGAAGAAAATGGAGGCCTGCCACGGTGGTTCACGCCTATAATCCCAGCACTTTGGGAGGCCGAGGTGGGCGGATCACTTGAGGTCAGGAGCTTGAGACTAGCCTGGCCAACATGGCGAAACCCTGTCTCTACCAAAAATACAAAACTTAGCTGGGTGTGGTGGCCTGCACCTGTAATCCCAGCTACTTAGGAGGCTGAGGCAGGAGAATCGTTTGAACCTGGGAGGCAGAGGTTGCAGTGAGCCAAGATCACACCACTGCACTCCAGCCTGGGCAACAGAGCAAGACTCCATCTATAAACAAACAAACAAAAAGGGCCGGGTGCGGTGGCTCACGCCTGTAATCCCATCACTTTGGGAGGCCAAGGCGGGAGGATCACGAGGTCAGGAGATTGAGACCATCCTGGCTAACACGGTGAAACCTCGTCTCTACTAAAAATACAAAAAATTAGCCAGGCGTGGTGGCGGGCGCCTGTAGTCCCAGCTACTCGGGAGGCTGAGGCAGGAGAATGGCGTGAACCCGGAAGGCGGAGCTTGCAGTGAGGCGAGATTGCACCCCTGCACTCCAGCCTGTGTGACAAAGCGAGACTCCATCGAAGAAGAAGAAGGAGAAGGAGAAGGAGAAGGAGAAGGAGAAGAAGAAGAAGAAGAAGAAGAAGAAGAAGAGAAGAGAAGAAGAAGGAAGAAGAAGAAGAAGAAGAAGAAGAAGAAGAAGAAGAAGAAGAAGAAGAAGAAGAAGAAGAAGAAGAAGAAGAAGAAGAAGAAGAAAATGGAGTACAAAGTTGCCTTTGAACATTTCTTAGGAAGGTGCCCTGTGGAGCCCAATATACCACCTATCACCAAGTCCACTGTGGCCAGTTTTTCCTGCAGTTCTAAGAAAATCACATTTGTTTTTATTTGAATTTCCAGTGGGACAGCAGTTAAGTCATTGACTTGTATTTCTGGGCTACGCTGTAGGAAAGAACCAATCAGGTGAGAGGTGAGAGGCCTGCCTGACCCCGCCAAGGGTGAGACCTGTCACGTAACCTCTCCTGGGTCAAATACCCGTGCAAATATTGGCAAAGGCGCCTGCACTATTTAACTTGTCTGTAATTTTGTGTTTTTGGCAGAGTTTAAATTTTTTAATTTATTTAAGTCAGATGCTCCATGTAAATGATATAGTTAGTTTATACTTCTTTCTTTCCTATTTCTTTCTTGGAACTCCCGGGCTCAAGCAGTCCTTCCACCCTGGCCTCCCAAAGTGCTGGGATTATAGGTGTGAGCCACCACACCCACCTCCTTCCTCTTCCTTCTAGACATGGTTATTCTTTGCTGTGACTATTCCATAATTAGTCACCAGCATTCACATGTAATTATCTGTGAGAAGTAAACTGCCCTTTGGATATTCAGTGCTGACTCTTTGCACGTTCATTTGTAACAAGCTGGAGGGGAGTTCAGTGCTGAGATGGGTTGTCACCCAGTGGGCACCTTCTGGGACCCACTGGCCCTGCTCTGACTCACCATGCTTTATTTCAGTTCTCACCTGTTAAGCACCCATGAGCAGCCAAGCTTTGTACGTGGCCAGGGAGAGAAAAAGCAAAAGCTGCCCCTAACCTCAAGGAGCTTTCAGTCTGGTAGCAAATAAAGATATTAATCAAATAATCACAGCAGCAGACACATAATTATAAATCGTTTTTAAAAAAAGCTTCATGGGAGATGTAAAAGGAGTGCTGAGAGTATATAACTAATCTGGGGTTGCAGAGAAATCTTTCCTGAGGAAGCGGCCTTTGACTTGAGAGCTGAGGTTGACATTATACCATTTAGGAAGGTGGTTGGAGCTAAGGTTTGGAGTGACTCTTGATGCTACTACAACGCACTTCTCAGCAGACACCAGTGATGCCCTACAACTGAAGAGGATGCTTTCATAAAGCGTGAGGTTTCCTGGTCACATTCTTGGCTCACAGCTGAATTCCACATGAGTATTATACCTCTCTTGGCTATTAGTGCTCATGTGACTTTGTGTAAAGCACAGATAATTGGAAGGCAACCATTGGACCTCTTTTTCATCATTGTCCTCCCCATCCAGTTTGTGTTTCTAAACCAGAGTTGCTAACCACTAGTAGCGAGCCTTGATTTGTGGTTTCCCATCTGTCCTGGCTCATGGACATGACTCAGATAGGTGAAGTGTGTGGATAACACACAGATTATGTGAGCATTCTGGGATCACTGAGATGCCCCATAGTTACTGTGGAATCGCATCACGGAAGTTCCAGCCACATCCATCCTATGCAGATCAACCCATTTTCCAGTCACTCACAGCACCATTGTTAATTTTCCACAACCCTCTGGGAAAAATAGTATCTTCCTGCTCCACAAAACACATGGCATGGCTGGGTGCTGTGGCTCACGCCTATAAATTGTAGCATTTTGGGAGGCCGAGGCGGGCAGATCACTTGAGGTCAGGAGTTTGAGACCAGCCTGGACAACATGGTGAAACCCTGTCTCTACTAAAAATATAAAAATTAGCCAGGCGTGGTGATGGGCGCCTGTAATCCCAGCTACTCAGGAGGCTGAGGCAGGAGAATGGCTTGAACCCAGGAGATGGAGGTTGCACTGAGCCAAGATGGTGCCACCGCACTCCAGCCTGGCCAACAGAGCAAGACTGTGTCTCAAAAAACAACAAAAACAACAACAAAACACATGGTAGGGGAGAAGGGGTAACACCCTGGACATGGTAGCCAAAGTGACCTGCTTTTAAGTAATAAATGTAAACACCTACTGCTATCAGATTTCAAAGGTGTATTGAATGAAAGAGTTTAAGAAAGATGTCATCTAGGCTGGGAAAGCTATTGGTAGTCTTGAATTAGGGGCACAGATGCTCCAAGTTATCTTTGATCCCCCCTTTCCCTGAATCCCATAGCTTCCCCCAAGCCACCCCCACTCCCCTTACCATCCAGGCTCCCAATGCTGGCAAATCCTCCTCTTTCATTTTTTTTTTTTAAATAACTTCTCTATTTAAAAAAATAGAGATGGGTTCTCTGTGTTGCCCAGGCTGGTCTCAAACTCCTAGCTTCAAGCAATCATCCTGCCTTGGCCTCCCAAAGCCCTGGGATTACAGGCATGAGCCACCACCCCTGGCCCAAATCCTCTTCATTTCTCCAAAGTCCTTGCCTTTCTTTCCTGTCCTATACC